TTTGAGCAGTGTAGAGTAGCGTTTGTAGTTTGTAATTTCTCCGATCACAAATACAGACATGGTTTTATGTTTATGCGGCGTGATACACAACGCGTAAAAAGACAGTATAAGTCATTATAATCCGTAATTATGTCCCCACTGGATGCAACAAATGCCTCATTTATAATGGGTTTTAATGTTTTTGTCTCGTCGCTCCGGCCTGACAGGCATCATCACAGTATGGTAAGGGGCGTAACATTTCCGTCACACGCTTGAGGTATTCGGCCAATCACAACGCACTGGATAGCTGGCCAATCACAGCACACCTCGCTTTTCAGACCGATGATTTTTGTAAAAATCGACGCGTTTCAGAAAGGCGGGGCATAGAGCAGAAACAATAATGTACAGTATGTGGAAAATAATGTTTTTTTTACTTTAAACCGCATAAACACATTGCATTGCACCAAATACACAAAATAATGTTCTTTTTAGCAACATCATATGACCCCTTTAAATCAAAAAGGTATCTTGGTGCTAGTCCATTTAACGATTGAAACACTAAGACCAAAATCTTAAAATCGATTCTAAAATGAACAGGAAGCCAGTATTGGTGTAATGTGTTCTCGCTTACGCGTTCCTGTCAACAAACGAGTGACAGCATTCTGTACCCTCTGCAAATGTGTGAGGGAAACCTGACTAATACACACATAAAGGGCATGCAGGAATCCAGGCGGGTCCAGATAAAAATATGTATAACCCTTTATAAGTCATTAAAAGACAGAAGAGACTTGACTTTGGATAATTGCCTCAACTGGAAAAAAATTGCTTTAATTACTGAATTAATCTGTTTATCCAGTTTAAAGTCACTGTCCATAATAACACCCAGGTTTTTTACATTGGGATTCACATACGGTCTTAAAGCACCGAGATCCAGATGAGAAGAATCACGAGTACCCCCAGATCCAAATACCACAACTTCTGTCTTTTCTTCATTGAAATTTAAAATATTTAAGGCCAACCAGTCTTTAATATCTCCAAGACAGTCCAACAATGGTGCTATGGACTTTGCATCTTTCCGTTTCAAAGGCAGATAAAGTTGTGTGTCATCTGCATAACAATGAAACAAGATGTCATACTTCCTACAAATGGACCCTAAGGGAAGCAAATATAAAGAGAACAGCATAGGCCCAAGAACGGAACCTTGAGGAACGCCACACGAGAGGGATGCCAAAGAGGACATAAAACCCCAAGGCGGACAGAAAAGCTTCTGTCAGACAAATAAGACCGAAACCACTCCAAAGCAGTACCCTTAATACCAACACAATGTTGTAAGCGAGAAACCAAAATCTATGGTCTACCGTGTCAAATGCAGTCGTAAGATCTAAAAGCAAGAGAACAGCATAATCACATTCAGTCAGTGGCTAGTAACAGGTCATTATACATGTACAGTATAATAAATTACATACAATAAATTTCTCACACACACACACACACAAGTCATTGGTGTTTGGTGATGAGCTTTTGGCTCAAGGTCTGCATTTAAAGTCACAGCAGAGGTGTTCAGCTGGGATTAGGACGTGGCTTTCTGCAGACCAGCCCAGTTCTTCCACACTGACTCAATCAATCTTTGTTTTTTAACCTTGCCTTATACACAGAGGCATTGTTGTGTTAGAATAGAAAAGGGTCCTGTTCAAACTATTGGTATAAAATTAGAAGCACACAATTCCCTAGAATATCAT